ACTATCTTTCTCAGGAGCATATACAATATCTCCTGACAATGTACTAGAACATATGGTATTAGCACAATGCCTGGCACATAGTAGGCATTTAATAAATGCTTTTTGACTTGCCTTGCCTTACTAGCCTGAAGAGTTCCTCTTGTGCAAGGTGGGGAAATATTTTGGGATTACTAGAAGTCAAGGTATCAATAAACTGCATATTAAGAACCTACTATGTGCCATGCATTGGAGTGGATATTGGAGATGCAAAAAAAGAAAAAGAAAAGAAAAGAAAAAGAAACAACCTCTGTCCTCAAGGACCTCATTTTCTATAGGGGAAGACAATATATACATGAATAAGTATATATAAAATAAAAATAAACTAACTTGAGGGGCAGAAAGTCCTGGTAGTTAGGAGAATCAGAAAAGATTGCCAATAGAAGATGGTATTTAATAATAGCTAGCATTTGTATATTAATATATTTCATTATTATTATTATTATATTAATATATTTAATAATGGTTAACATATTTAATAACAATATAGCATTTATATAGAGAGCTTAAAGGTTTTCAAAGTGCTTTATACATGTTATCCCATTTGATCCTTGAAAATAATAGGTGCTATTACAGATGAGAAAACTGAGGCTAAGAAGGATTAGATGACTTAGCCAGCATCACACAGCTACTAAGTGACTGAGGCAGGATTCTAACCAAGACCTTCCTAATCCAAGTACAGCACTCTCCCAAAGGTGGTGTTTTGAACAAAGTTTTGAAAGAAATAAAGGATTCTAAGAAACATAAATGAGGAGGAAGTGCATTCCAGGTATGTGAAACAGCTAATACAAAAGTGGAGAGATGGGGAGCAGCTAGGTGGCGCAGTGGATAGAGCTGGCCCTGAAGTCAGGAGGACCTGAGTTCAAATCCGGCCTCAGACCAAACACTTGACACGTACTAGCTGAGTGACCTTGGGCAAGTCACTTAACCCCAATTGCCAAAAAAAAAAAAGTGGAGAGATGGGAGATGTGTGGGGAATAGCAAGAGGGATGGTTTGAATAAAATGTAGTATACAGGAAGAGAAGTAAGCTAGAATAAGGTTGGAATGGTAGGTTGGGACCAGCTTGTAAAGAGCTTTAAATGCCAAACAGAAGAGTTTTTATTGATCTTAAACACATTGAGAGCTAATATTGAGTAGGGGATGACATGGTCAGACCTGTACTTTAGGAAAATCGATTTGGTGCCAGTGTGGGGGATGAATTGGAGAGGAGAGAGACTTGAGGTTGGAGGACTAATTAGGGGGCTTTATTTTCTCAGTAAAGTAAGAGGTTAGATTCTCAGCTGAAAGGGTGAGGAAGGGGATGGTGTGGGAGGCTTGAGGAAAGAAGAAAAGAGTTGGAATCATCTCTTTGGGGAGTGGGATAGAGAACCATTTAGGAAGGAATAAACAATTGTCTTGCTGAAGTGATGACCCAGTTGGAATTAGATAACATAAATTTGTAGTGGACTCAATCAACAGACTTGTCTGATTTTCTCTAGCTCTGCTCAGCAGCAGAGTAGGAGTAGAAGAATAGGAGTAGAATAGGAGTAGAAGGGGAAGACGGTCACAGTAATCCAGGGCTGGGATTTGTCGAGGCTTGACCATGATAGTTAGTGCTAGCAGCAAATTTTTGTTGTTAGTAGTAGCAATTAGTAGGAGGAGTAGGAGTGATTGTGGTAGTCATCATCAATGTTAATAGCAGGAGTAGTAGTGGTAGTTAGTAGTAGTTAGTGGTAGTAGAGGTAGTAGTAGTTGTTAGTAGTAGTTAGTAGTTAATAGTTAGTAGAAGATAGTGTAGAGTGGAACTGGTAAGTATCAGGTCTCAGTACCAGTAAAGGACAAGATCTAGGCTTGCTCCTCAGTGAGGCTCTGGATCTCCTTTCTCCTTGGTTCCATCTTCTGAAGTTCTAGACTTGCACTAGAAACTCTTTCCACATTTGGGGCAGAGGTTCTATCCCCTCACTACTGCCAGCTCAACTTCTTGGCAGCTTCTGGCTTGCTCTCTAACCCCCTCCCCTCTCAAAATAAATTCCTTGAAGTTGACCTGGAGCCTCATTTTATAGCCATCCCTAGGACTATGTTGTCAAGCAGTCAGGCATTTATTAAGTATTTATTAAGTATTGACTGTATGCCAGGCACTGTGACAAGCACTGGGGATATTAACAAAGGTATAAACAAACACTACAGCCCCTGCCCTCAAGGAGCATATTTTCCAGTGGGGAGACACCATGTAAATATCTAGGTACAAATTATCTACAGAATAAATGAAGGTCATCTGAAAGGGGAAGACATTCGGAGTTGGGGAAACCAGGAAAAGCCTCCAGCAGAAGACTTTAAACTGAATGTGGAAGGAAGCAATGGAAACTAAGAGGTCAAGTTGAGAGGGCAAAGCATTTCAGGCATGGGGTACACCCAGTGCAAAAATAGATCCTGAAGGTGGAATATTATTCTCCAGGAACTGCAGATAGATTGGAGCCAATCTAGAGTGCATTGTAGGATATAACAAGGCTGAGAAGGTAAGAAGGGACCAGGTTATGAAAATCTTTAAATGCCAGAGGACTTTATATTTTTGATACTAAAAGTAACAGGGAACTACTAAGTGTATGTCTAAGTGTACATATGTGCTTCTCTGCAGGGAATGCATTCTGTGTCTTTGTATGGCCCTTATCTACTGGAAGAGACAGAAGTAACAGGCACAGTGGAAAGGAGGCAAATCTGAAGTCAGAGAACCAGGGTTGTGCCACTTAATCCCAGTGAGACCTTAGCCAAGTCATTTGTACTACAGGAACCTCCATGTTTTCAACTAGGATATGAGGGTGTTGAACTAAATGGCTTCTAAGGCTCATTCCAGTTCTTAATGGATGGTCCCAATGACCATCTCTCTCCAATTTCCTCTTTGTATCCTCTTTTACAGCTTAAGTCCATGGGCATAGCTCAGTGTGCAAATCCATGAATCGGCATCAGCTGGTGCCAGGACCAAGATCCCTTCGATGGGATAATAAGGACTTTAGACCTTGCCTAGGGGCTTCAAGTCTTAGCAAGCGAGAAAAGGGTTCTTGAGGCACATATGAGTACATGGAGGAGTTGGAGTAGGAGTTGCTATTGTTGTCATTAATAGTAGCAGTGGATAGAGCACTGGCCCTGGATTCAGGAGGACCTGAGTTCAAATCCGGCCTCAGACACATAACACTTACTGGCTGTGTGACCCTGGGCAAGTCACTTAATCCCCATTGCCTCATATATACTACACCACTACTACTACTACTACTACTATATACTACAATGATGTCTACCACAAGTATTACTAACTACTACTACCTCTAATGCAACTACTAACAATTACCATTGTTACTAAGTGCTACCGCCACTAACTACAATTTCTACTATCACTACTAACAACTACTGCTACTATTAATGACAACAATCTGAGGCAGAATCTTAATTCAGGCCTTCCTGACTCTGTCGCCTATACTCTAGCTAATGTGCCATCTAAGAAAGGTAGGAAAAGGGAAGTAACGGCACCTGTTAGTGTAGGATGGGGTATTTTTGTCCCACTAGGAAAAAGGGCAGGGCTGCAGAGGTAGCAGAGAGATGTTCCCTCTGCATCCTTATTGTGTATAGGTAGGGAAGGGAGGGAGAGGGGTCTCTCCCTGGGTTGGAGGAGGGGTATCTCTTACCAAGGCCTACCTCCTCTCCTTTTTAGGCTTGTCTTCCTCAGATCTCCATCGTATTACTGTTCTATAAAGCTGGCCAGACCCTCCCCAACCAAAATTCCCCTCCTGATTCCCAGGATGTGGTTGGAAGAAGGGGGGCTTCCAAACTGTGTTTCTCCCCTTTTTCCCAGATAATGTTCCATATGACCCAGTAGGCAATTGCTAGAACATGGGGGTGGGGAGTGGGGGGAGAGGTGAATTAGAGGGTGGAATGGGGGCAGGGACAACCCTGGTCAAAATGGTGTCCCTGAGACAACCTCCCTTGCCCCTACCAACCCCCAAACAAACATTACTCCAGGAGAGCCACAAGTAGGCTAATTTACACTAAAGATGTGGGAACAAAATGTGATGGGGGTTTAGAGATTTAAAGAAGACCCCATTGAGTTCTTAATCCAAAGCAAGGAGGCTAATGGTAGAAGTGGCCTCCATGTCAGCCAGCTCCAGGAAGATCCGTGCTATCTCCTTCACTCCTCTCTCCCCTCTCCAGTATAACCATTAGGGAGAGAAAGAGATATGAGGAGCTGGCTAGGGGGTCCCCCCTTACTCTTTTACATGGGGCAGAGAACAGCACAGCCAAAGGATAAATGCACCTTCAAATTTGAAAAGACAAATCTGAGTGCTTCAACAGTTTTTTCCCTGGCACCTTAATCCTGACTTCTAATACTGATTCATCCAACCCTGATCCCACCAACAACGGCTCCCTACTCACTTCTCAATCTTGGATCCCCAACCTTGACCCTATAGCCCCGACCAGCATTACCTTCTGTCTTGACCCCTAACCCTGCTCCTCTGACCCCTCAACTCTGATCTCCAACCCTGATTCTTTCAGATTTTATTCCCACACAACGGTCGTTCCTTCCATCCTTGGTCCTTATGTGCCATCAGAAGGGATAGTACAAATACCCCACCACCACAACAGAGCTGACAGGGTAGTTACACCTCTATAGTGCTGCCAGTGTAGACTTCACAGTAATAATGAAGAAGAAAATGGCAATGTGTGTATCCTTCTCTTACAGGGCCATGGAGACAGACTGCTCACTCTCAGTGAAGGGAGACGAAGACATAACGGAGGGGGATAGCACTGTTAGACAAAATCCAGATTTCCTAAGAGTGGGAGCTCAGCCCAGTGGAGGGGCACCGCCAGACACACAAGGGGGGATGAGAGACCATGAGAAAGTAGAGCAGGAAGAGGGGGGGGCACAGTAGGGAAGATGGTGGGGGTGGGATTTCTGGACACCAAAAACGAAAGTCTACACTGGAACATAAATAGAAGCCACATGAGAGGTTTCAGAACTCACACTCACACTCAGGCTCACACACACACGCATACTCTGGCCCCTGGCAGAGTCCTGTGGGTTTCTCTGCAATCCAATCCACTGTTTGTCGGGAAATCTGCTCAGAGGATACCATGAGAGGCATCCTGCTCCTCAGCCTGCTCCTTCTCTCCACCACCGACCTAGGTAAGGGAGCAGAACCTCTCTCTCTGTCAAAACTGAGAATAAATGGACAAAGAGGACAGGGAATACATAGCTGTCTATGTGTGAGTTTGATCCTGCTTCTGATTGTGTCTGCGGGTGAAGATTTCATTATGAGGCTGTGATTGTGTCCATGTGGGATATAGAATCATAGATCTGGAACTGGAAAAAGCCATCTAATCCAACCTTCTCATTTTACAGATAGGGAAATTGAGGCACAGAGACTTTTATTTTTTAAAAGAGTGCATGTCCTTCTGTGCACATGGGTTTATATATGTCTGTGGTCTGTCTTTGTGCCATTGTCTGTATAGCTTTCTATGTGTCTGTAGTTGGATCTCCGTGCTTATGCCTCTGTGAGAGTGGTTGTCAATAGGTACAAATGCTCTTGGATATTCTTTCTCAAAGTTTTCCTCGAAGTTTTCTTTGTGGTCTGTTGAAAAAACAATTAGAGTGTCCTGGGACTGGGATGATGGCCATTGTGGGAAATCGCAGGGATAGGGAGCGGTCAAATACCTAGCCTCCCCTTGGCTTCACTTTGGAGAGGATTGGGCTGGGATCCGGGTTGAGTGGCTGTGGAAACAGATCCTTGCGAGATCAGGTCCTGAGTGCCCCGACCCTCCTCTCACTCCTCGCCCACCCGAATCCCTCTCGCAGCTTGGAGCGGTACCAACGATGCAGAAGACTGCTGCCTGTCTGTTACCAACCTCATCATCCCCCGCCACATCGTGTGTGCTTATCGCCGTCTCAGCCCAGAGAACGGCTGCCGACTGCCCGCAGTAGTGTGAGTGAGCCGTAGCGGAGGTCCATC